TATATATATATATATATATATATATATATATATATATATATACATATATAATCATGTATATGTCTAACATCATGGGCAGATGAGGTCAGCATGAAGAAGAGCTTCAAAGTAAAATTGAGAAGTGTGAAAAGCAAGCCTGGGTATCCCTACCACCACAGTCTCCATTTAGGGTGCTACAGATTTGGAGTTGAGTTTTGGTGCCTAGAGACTTGAAGAAAACTGAAGGATCCAGAATGTCTGCACCCATTCACCTCTGACCCAGAAACTGCTCTATATAAACTCACCTTTCATCTGAGGGTGTCCTCACTTTATGCCCTGCTCTATCTCCCTGTCCACAGATGCTCACAGTGGTTTAGAGTTAGTGGTAGTCTTCATTTCTTTAAAACTGTTTTTACTTCATTTTATTTGCTTTCCTTCTTGATTGGTGTTGTTAGAGGGTGTGTGTGTGTGTGTGTGTGTGTGTGTGTGTGTGTGTGTGTGTGTGTGTGTGTGGTCTTTTCAAAATAAAGAACATTTGTTTTAATTTATTGTCTCTTCTTTAAAATATTTAAACTTTTTTCTTGAGAGCATCAATGGTGACCTCCATTGAAGATCTGTTGTGACTCCAATAACTTTTTAAGCATCATTTCCTGTATGCTTGTGTTTTTTTTTTTTTTCATTAGCTCTTTGGGCCACTGAAAACACACACTATAAGATAGAGAAATCTAAAGTGTAGAGGTCATCCTATCAACACATGGAGACACACTGCTTCTGCTTGTTGGGGTAAATTCTTTCAGAAAGCCTGGGCTCAAATCTCGCGAGACACCTTTCCAGCTTTACACTGGTTTCTTCAGCCCAAATCATGTAACATCTGTAAGTAAATCATAGGACGTGAGATGATATTTTATTCCAAATAAAAGGATGGAGGGATTCTGAGTTAACATGCTGTCCAGATGAAAGAAGCACTGCATGCCTCACTTGAATACAGCCTTGCTGCCTTTGATATCCTCGTATCCCTACCTAAATACCTCCGTCAACTCCCAAACACAACCTCACCCTGCCCTATGGCATCTGTTTTTCTCAAAGCAAGTCTGGGTCCCTAAAAATATGTATTTACCATTCCAGTGTTGCACTTACCTTTTCATCTCTCTGCTTTGAACACAAGTAATCCTATATACCTACCCCTTCTCCTATATCTGCCATCCCTCACATCAATTCCAGGGGAAGCTGTAGGTGTCCACAATGCCTCCAGACCTGACCAGCCACATTATACTTGTTTCCTTGGATAGAGAACTTGAATCCTTGTTTCTGAGGTGACCCTAACCTCAAGGCTTCTTAAGTCCAAACTCTGTTTCCTAATTCAGTTATCGGCATAATAGATTTCCTCTTATAACATTCATTCTCTGGTTAAGTATGCTTACTATTCCACATTTCTCATACCAAATGATATTTAGATTCATATAAGACGTTCGAGAGAAGCAGTAACATACAGGCGCCACAGGAGATCAAAGACAATGGGGTTACTACGAGTGCTGTCCTTTCCAAACACCTCCCACTGGGAGACTTTCTTTCCCATGAGATACTCTGTCATCTGTCTCTTCCCAGGACACCACTGCTCTTGGCCTCTGCCCAGCAGCCAAACACTGTGACTCCTCCGGAGACTGGCTCTCTTCTATGCACAGTCCCTTGGGCATTCCAGACTGTGAGAGGAGTCAGGAGCCTGGAGAGTGTACAGTGTTTGTGTCTTCTAGTCCCCAGAATATACCTAAACATTAGACTAATGATACAGCGTACATCTAAAAAGAAAATCAAATGGTCCAAGTTTCATTTTTCCCCCTTAGTACATTTCTTTCATTCGTTTATTTATTTACTTATCTATTTATTTATTTCTTGTGTATATGTGGGCATGCCCATGCCACAGTGCACGTGTGAAGGTCAGATAACAACTCACAGGAGTCAGTCCTCTTCTTCCATCATGTTGCTCCCGGGAATCGAACTCAGGTTGTCAAGCATGGCAGCAAGTGCCTTTACCCACTGAGCCATTATACCAGCCCTGATTACTTTTTTAATTCTTCAATGTTTCAGAACCTCTAAGGCAGTGGCTCTCAACTGAAACCTTTAATACAGTTCCTAATGTTGTGATGACCCCAACCATAAAATTATTTTTGTTGCTACTTCATAATTATAATTTTGCTACTGTTATGAATCATAATGCAAATAGCTCATATTTCCAATGGTCTTAGGTGACCCCTGTGAAAGTGTCATTCAACCCCCTAAAGAGGTCACTACCCACAGGTTGAGATCCACTGCTCTAATGGGTATTTTCCTAAGCTTTCCACATGTGGGTTCACAGTCCTTTGAAGGAACTTAAGTTACAGAGAAGTGCACAAAGCTTCTAAAACCAAGAGTGAAGCTGCAGATTCTACATCAAAACAGATTTCACTGGTTTCATACAGTTAGCACATCCATGTGGTGCCATGAAATGTTGAGTGCCAATAACTACAACTTGAAGAGCCTGTTTTCCATTGTTTGTGGATGTACCTGAAGTGGTTGCTGCATCAGGTTAGCCCTATTTTTCATATTTCATAGATTACCCATACTATTGCCACAGTTTTATTATCACAATCTCCACTAACAGTGCAAAGGGGTTCCAGTTTATGCACATTTTCACCCAAAGTTGGTTTTTACTTTTTGTTTGTTTGGTTGGTTTGTTGGTTTGAGTTTTCATGATCATACCTATAAGTCAAATGTATTATCTCACTGTAGTTTTATTTTTAATCTCCATAATGATTAGTAACAAAGAGCATCTTCACATATGTTAGCTGGTCATTTGTACATACCCTTTACAGAAATGTCTGTTCCAGTTCAAGTATCTCATTTTTGTTGGTGGTGGTGAATTATAAGATTTTATCATTTACTAGATAAATAATTCTTACTAAATATACAATTCAAATATATCTCCTCCCATCCTGCATGGTGTCTTTGCATTCTATTTTGTCTTTTGTTACACAAAATAATTTCTGTTCCTTGTGGTTACATCTATTTTTCACTTTTGCTGCCTACACTTTTGAACATCATATCCAAGAAATCTTTGCAAATGTTAAATGTTTTCTCTAGTTCCATGAT